GACGTTGACGAGTTTTTGAACCAATTTGAGACCATTAGTATATTAAATAATTGGTCTGATGTGCAGAAGAAATACGTGTTTGCATTGTATTTGGAGGGGCCAGCTCTACAATGGTACAAAACGTATTTTTCTTCATACATGACGTATGATGTGATTGCACAAAAGTTAAGAGAGGAATTTCCCTCACAGATAGATTATGCACGAGAATTTTATTATAGGCGACAGGGGCCTAATGAATCGCTGATAAGTTATTTTTATAATTTAAATGAGTTAGCGGTGAAAGCAAATATTCAAGATGTTCAGTTTATTAAGCATTTTTTTGAAGTCTTTGTTACCCAATTTTAAATGGATGCTGGCTACCAATTTGTATGTATCTAAAGAGGAGTTGAGGAAAACAATTATCCAAGTAGATGATGTATTTAATCACAGCTATAATGTGAGACAAGATATTGAATTGCCAGTGAATTGTCATATGGAGCATTCTTGCTGTTGGCAAACACAGGATGTCTCTGCACCGATAATTAGACCCGAGTCTAAGAAGTCGGAATATTTAGTGCCACAAGCACCAATCGTGCAGCAGGATACGCCAAGTCAAGGGTATTCACGAGCAAATAGTAGTGGATCTTCGTCGGGATCTCCTCAACGTGATTGTCAGAAAAGCGCAACTGAACATGTAGAAAATTTGTCTACAATTGATAGTTCTAGCGTAGATAGGGCACCTTTTATATCTGTTTTTATTAATGATGTATGTTGCGAGGCGTTGGTGGATACTAATGCTTCAGTTTCCATAATTTCTCGTTGTTTTGTAGAGAAGTTACAGTTGCGTATCGATGATAGTCCAAGTTTTCCATTACGTATAGTGGGTGCAACGCCAATAAATGTGCGGTCGTCCACCAAGGTGTCGTTGATGATTAATGGGAAGGATTATCCTTCGAAGTTGCTGGTTGTAGACGATTTTAAAGAATATTTAATTCTGGGACGAGATATTTTGAAGAGATGTAATCTCGAGTTGTCAAAAGTGGAAATTGACAATAAAATTTCGTCTAAGTCCGTGACAGATATTGGACCAAAGAAAGAAAAGTCTCCTTTGAAAACCATATCAAAAAGTTTAGATAGCTTCTCGGTTTTGCCAGAGATGATAAGTAATGTTGACGTGAGTGATAAGACGTGTCAATTGCGTCAAAAACGGGATTTAGATATAAATAATTATAAAAATGCTTTGCCGAAAATATATATAAAATACAATTCGGAAAGCGACATTTCTAATCGTGTTCGCGTAAGTAATGTGGCGAATTTGCGAAGAGACTACGTAAAACGAGCAGCTTCGATGAGTTCTCGTAAAGAATATGTAGATGGTTTACAATTAAAGCAAAAGCGAATGTTTGACAAGAAAAACAGAGTTGCTTTATCTAAGAGGTATGTTACGCGAAGCTTAGGGTAGTGAATTGGTTGAGTAGGATTAATTGTATTATGTGCAGATTAAGTATAAATAGGAATAGATTGTGTAGGCAGGATCTAGTCCATGTGAATAGGATGAAAGAGTTCTTTAGGAGATAATTTAATGTTTTCTTGTTTTCTATCAGGTTAACTAATCGTTTGTGTTTACTTTTCATGTGGAACCACATTGACGTTATGAGAAATATTTGGAGAAAAATTAATATTTTCCGGCAATGCAGACTTGGAATGACGGGAGGATGATGATGGAATATCGTAGAAAGATTTAACTTAATTTTTCCTTTTCCCTTTTTTAATTTGATAGATATATTATCCAGTATATGTGCATAGTTCGTGCTCACTCTTCAAGATGAACAACAACTGTCTGCATTCGGGGAAAATATATTTATTTAATTATTAGAAATTCTTCATGTGGTATACCCACATACCATATATGTCTTGGAATATGTAGTTAGAATGTGTTGTTGACGTTGTATGTGGGTTGGCTTTTGTTTGGTTAAAGATAGCAAGTGAAGCTGATGGAACGTGATAGCTGCAAAATGAGGACTAAGGCAGCTGGGAGATCAATAGTGATGTAACCCAGTGATCGTCCGATGGATGTTCAAGCCTGTGTCGTCGTTGTGGCAGCATGCACGTTGGAGATAGCTTAGGTTTAGGGAGTTTAGGGAAATAGTTTTGTAGCAATGTTTAGAAGTTTGATAGGGTCGTTCAGCCAGTTTAGGGTCGATGAAATAAAGTGTTAGAGTTTAGTCAGGTTCCCTAATTAGCTAGGATAGCTAACGAGTAATTATATTTTTATTTGTTTGTTTAGGATGTGATCATGGTCTGTCCTTTTAGATAGGTTTTTGGCAGACCAAAGCCATAGCCTCCTCGGTGGTTACCTGTTGGTAAGTTGATAGCTTCCGAGCAGTGTGTGGCTAGCCTGTAGTAAAGGCTGATCACTATGTATGTTGCCTATCATAGGTAGACTACCAGCTAGGGATATTCACCCCTTCAGCTGTGAGGAAGAGGGATGTAGACTAGGCTGTACTCTATGAGTAGAATCACTGGCTGAGTGAGATTCATAATTAGAATGCTTTGAAAAAGAATGTTAAGAAAATAGAAGATCTTGACATTAATAGTAAGATTATTGATTTGTAACCCTAAACATGTAAATTGGTAAAATAAACCAAAGTTTTAAAATGATCCCGGTTTTATATTATTAAAAGTACCTCTCGCAATGCATCTGAGCTACAGCCCTCTATTATAGTACGATGTAACGATTTTTTAGTAACAGTAGAGCTCCTTGTCAAAGAGTTCTTCCACCTTAATTATTGCTGCCGCCAAACTGCGCATTACTTCGTTCCAGTCTTGCAGGGTAAGGTGCTGGTGAAATTACAGGCACATAGGACTTGTCAACTTATGTCTCAAGGTGACGGACGCAGTGGCAGTGCCTCTAAGATCTTTGCTATTTAAAGCTCTAAGTGGCACTGCAACAGTTATGGATAAGCGTGTCGCTTACCACCAGGAGCACGACTCATTCGTCCTGTCATTTGGTATATTCCCGGGCCGGGAAAAATATTTGTATGGCCTACATTTCTCTCGTGATTTGGGTGTACTTTGTGGTTGTCTATGTGTGTGTCCATGGCACATGGTTTTTCTAGTGAGGGTCCTAGCAGACTTGGGGCTCACTCCAAATCCTTGCCCGTGAAATATTAGAAAAAATCTCCGCCCGCTCTGCCTTGGTGTAAAATAAATCATCGTGAAGAAACGTGTAAGTCGTGTAGGTTCGCAAAAGTCGTCGAATGTCCGTAGGATGAATATTGCGGACACCAGTATTAGGCAACGGACTTGTGCAATACTTTGCACGATGGCGAAATTTGAACTATTCTACATAAAAGTATAATTATGCCACAATTTTGCTGGCTATTGCATTGTAAGAATATTATGAAGGTGTTTTTGTTACTAAAATTATAAGTTAAAATTGTTCCACTTTCTGTGTGCGAGTGCGAACATTTATATGGGAAGAAATATTCCGATGTAATCTAAGAAAGATACAATTACAATTAGCCTGATTTTTTTTATTTAAAGAAAAAGGCAAACGAGCAGACGAGCCACTTGATGTCATAGCCCAAAGGGAACATTTCAGGAGGAAGATCATTCCACACCTTGCAGGTTCGAGCAAGGAACGAACGAGATGCCCGCGTGGTCTTATAATGCCAGGCATTTGAGATGTGGGGATGGGCTCTACTCCTTTGGCGGAAAGTGCGATAGTAGAAACGAGGCGGTGGCACCAGTTATAAAAGTTCCTCGGAGCACTCCCCATTATAAAGACAGTAGAACACACACAGAGAGCCAACGTCTCTCCGTAGGCTAAGGGGATCCATACTGACAAATGGCAAAGGCTTCCCCTAGATCCCTCCACGCATCCTGAGCTAACTGGACCCAAACTTTATCGTAGGCATCCAGTTCGTCACGCCATCGCTTCCTCGGTCTGCCGCGGCGCCTTATGTTTTTGGGCTCCACTGGGTGGTTACCTTGGCGCACAGGTCTTCAGGCATGAAGTAGACATGACCAGCCCAAGTCCATTTCAGCTTCGCAGCTTTTTGTGCTACATCAGCAATCTGAGTATGGGAGCGCATTGTCGTGTTCCGAATTTGGTCGATCCGTTTCAAATAGTAGTAAAAAAGGTGTAATTTGGAAAAAAATGGGAAAATCAAATGAGTGGCATTCTGAGAAACAGAGGGTTTTGTATCCGGGCCCCATTTGGGAAAGGGAAAACTTGTTATTTCATTTTATTTAAATCTCTGTTCTTCTTGAAATTAATTTTATTTTAATAATGATTTTGTTACCATAATATTTATTCTTTTTTTTTGCGAAATTACTCCACTAGTTCGTTATGATCCGACCTCATAAGGCCTAATTTTATTGAAATCGGTTACCGGAAAGTGCGCGAAACCGGATTCATTCGGATATAAAATTGCGTATAAGTTTTTTTTTCCAAACAAACCAATATTTCAGGCTCCATACAGTTCCTATGATCACAGCTGACTAACCACAGTCTAGGAAAGCAGCAGTCTACGAAAGATGCATTTTGGGAAAGGGACTTCTTAAGACCGGGAGATGTTTTATTAAGGGACATTATATGACTCTAAAATATCATGATCAAAATTAATGACCTCTCGTCAGCGACACGCCTGTACATTACAGTTGCAGTGCCACTCAGATCCGAAACGCACGGCCACTGCGCCCGTCACCTTGAAACATGAGATGACAAGTCCCATGCGCCTGTAATTTCACCGGCACCTTTCCTCTTCAAAACCGGAACGCAGTAATATGAGCATTATTGCTTGGTGGTAGAAATAGGTAAGGTGGCAGTACTTCCCTCGATGAACACTTTCACAAAGAGCTCTATTGCTACTAAAATAATTATAGATAAAATATCCGCGGTTTGATTTTCGGCAAAAATAACAAAGAAAATTAACTTGAAGATTATTAGAACGCGTGTGCAATTAGTAGATACTTAATAAATAAGAGATATTATAAAATAAATACTAAGTACTTACACGGAACAGATGACGCCTTTAGTGACCTAAAACAAAAAGATAAATCGTTTCAAAATTTGCATTTCTCAGATAGATTTAAGGAGGTGAGGTGTGGGGACCGCAACTCTCGCGCTCTGAAAATTAATTGAGTAAATTAATCAGAACCGACGGAGAAAATTTGACACACATTCAACGTCGACAAACGCACGATGGCGACTGACGGGACAGCGGCTTCAGTTGAAAATTTAGCAGATTGTCAGTTTTCTGAAGTAGTTAAAGAGAATTATATCCATATAAAAATTATGTCCAAAGTTAGATATTTTATTGTTAAATTATTCGTTTTCAATTTTTATTTTAGCCTGTTTTCAGGATTTTATATGATCGGCCGAAGTACATCCTATTGTGTGACATAGCACATTCTTTAAACAATATCCTTAAGTGTACCATTTGATCGAGCATAACAGTTTTACCGCTTCTCCTTCAGTGACAGGCCTTAAAGTACGTACTCAATGCCCCAGTACCCAGCGGGAAATCGGTGACCTCTCAAGTGAACAAATCCCTGTGACGGCATATAAGTTTTTAATTTCTAAGTCCAGGACATTTGTGAAGACAAGATGTCGTGATGAAATCTGCACGTCAAAGAAGTTTTACAACCCTTGAAGTCCCCAAGTCGCATTTGGTCAGCACGGCGGACTCTGGCCTAAATCCTCTCCTTAGAACACACTCGCGCTCAACAGCGGGATGTATTTTTCTATGATAACTAGTGACGGGACGAACAAGTCGTGCGCCTGATGGTAAGCGACACGCCTGTTCGTAGCAGTTGCAGTGCTACCCAAAACACAAAGGTGTAAGGGGTGCTGCCACCGCGCCCGTCTCATGTGACTGTAATGTCACCAGTACCTTTCCCCTTCAAAACCGGAACGCATTAATGGTCACATTACTGCTTGGCAGCAGAATTAGGTAAGGTGGCAGTACTTCCTTGGACTAACTCTTTAACAAGCAGCTCTACTGCTACTAAGTTAATTAAAATAAACCTGATTTTAAGCCTCGACTGATGTAGACCTCGGCGAACATATCTCAATAAGATTGAGGATGTCCTTAAAAAAAGGCCAGGTTAAAAGTAGCAAGAATAAACGGGCATGTATGAAGGGATTGATGGGAGTAGAGGAGGCGAAGGAAGTTTGTCAGGAGCGTAGCAAGTGGAGGTCCATAGTCTCTGCCTATATATATGTATGTATGTATGGAAGCCTCGATGTCACCGTCGATATGGTGTGCGTTTGACTAAAAAATACCTTTTCACTCCAGCCCTGAATAGCCTTAGATTGCACATTTTGGAAAACCCAGACCTTTATTAGAAGTAATGAAAGAAAAAGTTTCCTTTTTCTTTCATTTTCTACTCTACTTTCTTTCGAAAAGGCTGAAATAATACAAGGACATAAAAAGGTACAAACAATATAAAACACTCTACTAGTACTAAACAGCCTAGGCACATTCCGTCAGAGATTGGTACGCGGCACCGCCATTGCCAGTAGCGCTGGACGGTGAGGTCGCACGTACCTATCAGGAACACATAAGCCTAATACCCCTAGTAGCATCGGATTGCATAGCATACCTCTGATTACCTTCAACACGCTAAGGTCCTGCGCACATGCAGCTCGTTCTATCTCACAATACCCAAAATAAACAGATTAGGATACCTTAGGGGGTAGAAGGAGCTAACCCCGTATTGCCTCAAGTACAGATATCTCAGGAATTTGTTTTGAATGCGCTAGCATTATACAATGCAATAATAGCATTAGCCGTAATCCTGTGAACCCTACGAAGAATCAACTCCAAATTTCTGTAAGCTTTTTGACATACAGTTATGCATATGTAAAAACATGCTCGTGAAACGTTAATTTTGCTGCAAATAATACTCCTAGATCCTTTACCTCCGTCACTCTTCTTATTTACTTATCACTTATTATAATATATATATTAAGCACTTGTCTTATTATACTCTGGTTTGAACTTTGCTGGACTTTGTATCGTACCTGGAAAAGCGAGAGTACTAAGGGGCCATTTTGGCCTTTGGAGGTTAGTAATTTCGCCTTTCCAGTGACGATATAGAAGGATTTCGTTAGATGAGTGACATTTTTATAGTGTAATTCTTAATAACAAGTGATTCCAAAATAACGTATCTAACCATTTCAAGTGGATAACCTTTATGCGGAGTTCATATCATATTGATAAGAATAATAAAAAGAAATTAAACAACAACTTCTTCGCATTACCGACTCAACATGGCTGACTTGAAGTTACAATTTATGTTATTAATATGTTGCATAAATAACGTGTTCTGTAAATTCAGTAGT